CCCCCCTCTCTCCCTCTCCCTCTCTCTCTCTCCCTCTCTCTCTCCCTCTCTCTCCCCCTTTCTCCCTCTCCCTCTCTCCCTCCGTGTGTGTGTGTGTGTGTGTGTGTGTGTGTGTGTGTGTAGAAAAAGCTGGGAAAAAAACCAGTACAAACCTTTGCATAGCTAATATTTGATTTCATTATGTTATATCTGCACTCTCTCCAGCTTCTCCCCGCTAACAATAAAGATTAGGGTGTTTTTTTTAACTGCCACCACTGTTATTTATTCATTTCTTATCTTCAAGGGATTTTCTTATTATTTCTTTTTTTTTTGCAGACAATAGAACATACCACTTCCAAGCGGAAGAAGAACAAGACTGCATTGTGTAAGTTCTGAGAGCTCTCTGTCTCCTTTTGCATTCTGAATGGAAAAAACTGTGAATTAGAAATATTACTGGAGGAGTGAAGGTTGGATTAGGGGTAGGATGCCTTGGGTCTTCTATTTTATTTATGCCTATAGGTAGTCCTCAACTGACAACAGTTCATTTAGTGACTGTTCAAAGTTACAACAGCACTGAAAAAAGTGACATGACTGCTTTTCACACTTATAACCAGTTGCCGCATTTCCATGGTCGCATGGTCAAAATTCAGGTGCTTGGCAACTGACTCACACTTATGACGGTTGCCGTGTCCCCAGGCCATGCAATCCCCTTTTGCGACCTTCTAACAAGCAAAGTCAATGGGGAAATACAGATTCACTTAACAGATTGTGGCAAAAAAAGTCGCAAAATAGGTCAAAATTTGCTTGGCAAATGTTCCACTTAGCAACATGAATTTCGCAGTCAATTTTGGTCGTAACTCGAGGACTACCTGTATAATATTTGTGTAATAAATTCAGACCTGGACACTAAAAGAGAATCAATGGTTTCTTTCTGCCAAATTTGCAGACTCATTGAGCAAACTAAAGGGTAGTGAAGGCAGATGGAGAGCTGAAATAGCTTGATAAAAGTCGCTGAGGGAAGGGGTTATCAATAGCAGAGGCTCTTGTAAAGGTGGGGTACGAGTAATCTAGCACAGACATTAGCAACTAGAGATGTTTATCCAACAGACTCAATAGCAGGAACTGTGAGAGGGATTTTGGAGGCTTAGTGGACAACCAGTTAAATATGAGCCAGCAGTGTGCGGCGGTAGCCAAAAAAGCCAATGCAATCCTAAATTGCATTAACAGAGGGATACAATCAAGATCAAGGGAGGTACTAATACCACTCTATAAAGCCTTAGTAAGACCACACCGAGAGTACTGCATCCAGTTTCGGCCACCACACTATAAAAAAAATATGTTGAGACTCTAGAAAGAGTGCAGAGAAGAGCAACCAGGATGATTAGGGGACTGGAGGCTAAAACATATGATGAACGGTTACAGGAACTGGGCTTGGCTAGTCTAGTGAAGAGAAGAAGGACCAGGGGAGACAGGAGAGCAGTCTTCCAATATTTGAGGGGCTGCCACAGAGTGGAGGCAGTCAAGCTATTTTCTAAAGCGCCTGTAGGCCAGAGAAGGAATAATGGATGGAAACTGGACAAGGAGAGATTCAACCTGGACATAAGGAGAAATTTTCTGTCCGTATAGCCAGCTGGCTAGTAGAAGCCAGTAATGCTGGATAGAAACCGTTGTACTTGTATAATTCACCACGTGCCAAGCTGAGACTCCAGTAAAGAGACCGTTCTGCTCACAGTGTGGCCTCTTCTTTTGCTGGCTTGGCTTGGAAGTGTGACACCTTCGTTCAATCAGTTGCATCCTGGTTGAAGTTTTCTCCCATTCCCCAGGTGGGTGTCGGTGCTCCAGAACAGTAAAGATGAAGCCCTTAGCAATGCTTTCAAGGGGGAGCCAGGAGGCTCCGTGTCCTCAGGTGGCAGCGTGGCCGACAGCGGATTGCAAGAACTCACCAAGCTCATCATTGACGAAGTGAAAAACATGCCAGGAAATCGATGGTGCTGTGATTGTGGAGCCCCAGGTGGGTTGCAGCAGCTTTTTCATGCATCCTTTTTCATGCAAGGGCTCCCATGTGCCTAAGCACTTAGAGGTAGTCCTCGACTTACAACCTCAATTGAGCCTAGTGCTGGGATTCAAATACTGTAGTTTAACAACTGTAGAATCCAGATCAAGAGCATGCTAGACTGCAACTGTTGCAGCAGATGTAATGGTCTTGAGCAGCGGTCGCCAACCGGTGGGCAGCAGCCCACTGGTAGGCCGTGAGAAAATTTTGGTGGGCCGCAGAGAAATCTCATCCCCAGAGCACCCCCCCCCCAAAGCAATTAATCCAGGCTGCACAGAAACACAAGGCTGCGCCACCCACATGGCCTGCGGGAACCCTCCCCGCCCACTCACTCCTTACCCAGCAAACTTGCCTGCTAAATTGCTATTTTTCCTTTTTCCGACCATCATCTGCTCTGCTATGCCAGGACATTTATATTAGCTAGAAAGCAGGAAATCGTTGGATTTTTTGCTTTCTAGTTAGTCTTCAGATCTTCGGCTCTGCTTTTAAGCACAGTTGAACCTCCCTTAGGACTGAAGGTTTCATTGTTCAGTGCAGACTTACAGCAAGCAGATTTGAGACTGAGCTTGCCGATGGCAGATAGATAGATCACTGAATGATTCTGTGAGCAACTCAATCTGCCTGCCTGCTTTGCCTGATTTTGGGTAAAAGCTGCTCTTTTTTATAAAAAAAATCAATATTTACATACATAGTGTGTTGTGTGTTAATTTTGTGAGTTTGCTTGGAAACAAATTTTATGTGACAGACTGAACTAGCCGATGGCAGATAGATAGATTTCTGAATGAATCTGTGATTCTCTGGGCAACTCAATCTGCCTGCCTGCTATGCCTGATTTTGAGTAAAAGTTGCTCTTTTTTAATCAAAAATTCAATATTTATATAAATATAATATTTACATACAAGCCATGCCCAGCCAGTCAGATGACCACCAAGCCACACCCACAAATTAGGCCACATCCACAGAACCTGTTAGTGGTCCCTGGGATTTAAAATTATGAGTTTGGTGGTCCCTGAGGTGACAGACCAGGTATTTATAAAGGTCCAAAAGGTTGGCGATCCCTGGTGTAGAGTACAAATTTCAGAACATCTCTGTAGGCCATGAAGAGAACTGGGGCATGTTTTGTCTTTCATTGAGCTGGGAAAGAAAGGTCTGTTTGCAGAATGAGTAGGGGAAGGACATGACATTATGTGTATGTCACAGCTTCTTCCTGGGTTGCTATCTTGCAGATCCCACCTGGCTCTCCACCAACCTTGGCATCTTGACATGTATTGAGTGCTCAGGGATTCACCGTGAGTTAGGGGTGCACTATTCCCGCATCCAATCGTTGACACTAGATGTGCTCAGCACGTCGGAATTGTTGGTAAGTGCTAACTCTCTGGTTGGAGAGACCATGTCCTTTCTGCTATTCTTTGACTCTGGCGTCTTCTTTTTCACATTACGGCCAGAGTGGCTTCTTCACCGCCAGATTTTGGGGCATCTTAAACTTACTGGTGAGAAAGCCACATCTAAGCAAAGACCAGATAGGAGGGGTCCTTGGTGTTCTCTAAGCTTGGTTATTTTCTTGCAGACATTTCATTGCAAGCTGTCAGGATTCCGGCACTTAACCCCATTTAAATCATGAGTCTCGAGCTAAATTTCCAAAACTCCAAAAGGATTTATTGGGAGTTAAAAGGTGCGACATTGCCTGGGTGTAGCCGACTCTGAGACACATCATTCATTGTCACCCTTGACCCAGGTTTTCCCCCACCTGCTGGGTGTACCGTAATTCATATTCTCCAATGGGACACATCCATAGCCAAGAGTCATCAATCATGCTCTCCAGTTAGAATTTTGCGTGGCAGAAACTTCGGTCACCTAGTTACTATCTTTGAAAACATTTATGGAATGCAGTTTCGGTTTGCAAGCTGCTGTACTGCTCCCCTCTCCCTTTCTGTTGACAACTCTAAAAGCCCATAGAAATATTTTATGAGTGGACACAAACGTCTTCTTGCAGAGGTGAGAGACCAGCTATTTATAAAGTTGAGAACAGGTTTTAAAACTAGTGGAGTTCAGTGGAATAGATGGGGATGCTGTAGATATGACATCGTGTTTCCCCATCCTGCCAGTAATGCAAAGGCTCTTCTCTCACTCCCAGCTGGCAGTCAGCATTGGAAACGCCAAGTTTAATGAAGTCATGGAAGCCACCTTGCCAATCCAGAGCAGCCCCAAACCTTCTTCGAGCAGCGATATGTGAGTGATATGGCTGTTGCTTTTGGGAGGCAGAGATGGGATGCGGGAAGGCTTTGGAGACATCTGATAAGGACAGACTTGGGGCAGAGGGTTGGGCCCCACCTCTGTGTTTGGAATTCAAGAAGAGGTGTGCATAAGTGCACAGTCATGCCTACCCTCCAATGGAGGGATTCAATTTTTTTTTACTACCGGTTCTGTGGGCGTGGCTTGGTGGGCGTGGCAGGGGAAGGATACTGCAAAATCCCATTCCCTCCCCATCCCACTAACCTGCTTTCCAGCTCTGTTCTCCTGTGCAGGGCAACAAAAGAAGACCCAGCCAATCATCTGGGACTTGGGAGGCGGAGAATAGATGGGGGCGGGGCCAGTCAGAGGCGGGATTTGCCGGTTCTCCGAACTACTCAGAATTTCTGCTACTGGTTCTCTAGAACAGCTCGGAACCTGCTGAATACCACCCTTGCTACCTTATTGTTCCCATTTATTCATCCCTATTTCCTGTATTCATACTCATGTTTATTCTTATACCTATTATCTTGTAAGCGATTGACAAATCAAATAAATAAATAAAATAAAAATAATGAAACAAGGGTAAGATCACTCAGAGTCATTGAGAATGAATGGGCAGCCATTTAAATGATCTAAATAAATAAACAAACAAGGCCAGGTCCTGGGTCTGTGGTTTTGCATAGGATAGGCACAGCCTTGTTTCTAAAAAAAAAGAGTCTATGGAAATTTGAACTGGCTGTTGGCAACTGCAGAAACATTCCCCTGCTTCTTAGCCTTGCTATTTTCTCTACGTTTATTTTTCCCCTCCAAAATCTTCTGTCACCAATAGGAAAACTAGAACGTTGCTACTCAAGCTGTGCATAATTTCAATCAATAATATACATTTAATAAATAAGCAAATAATTGTGACTGCAATTTAACTCTGATATTTAGAAATCTGCTCCTGTGCTGGTTAGACAGTATATAGTTAGTTTGGGAATGAGAACCTTCCCTTTAAGGGAATGCCTCATGGGAAACGTAGTTAATGCCTCATGGGAGATATAGTTCAGGTCATGTGGTCACATCTGTAATCCTGATTGGTCACTGAATTGACCTCTGGTTTGGTCATTCTTACCTGGACCAGCAACGGGGCAAGATAGTTCCTTTGCTTTCCCCAGCTGGATGTTTACCAGCTATTGTCTACCAAAATTACCTTGTTAACCATAGATCTAACAACCTGTGGTCTCCAAATTAATAGCGGATGCTCTGTTCATAGTATCCATTCCTTCACATGTGTACCATCTTGGGTCTTGCTTAGCAGCAGTCTTTGGGCTTCTAAATGCCTTCCCCCTGGATTTGATACATCTCTGCATCATACCAACAGCCATGTTCAATCCTTCAGGTCCTGGCAGTCCCTGCTTCTAAATACCAATTACTTGAGGATTAAACAATGGGGATGGAGAACACAGAGAAGCACCTGCCCATTTAAAGCACAGTGGTACCTTGGTACGCAACTGCTTTGAAACTCATCGAATTTGGTATTCAACGCATTTTGATGCAAAAAACTTTCTCCCGGTACTCATTGTTTGTTTGGTACTCAATGCACAAGCTAGAACTGGTTGGGGTCAGCTGCCTTGTGACTCATAACATTTTTGGTTAGTATTCATCATTTTTGGTACTCCTCACACCTCCTGGAACCAATTAACGATGAGTACTGTGGTTCTGTACCGCTGTAATAGAAGACAGGACTGACTGAGTTGAACCTTTCTTATCAACCACTAAGGCAGAGGTGGGGAATGATGGCCCCTTTATGACTTGTGGACTTCAACTCCCAGAATTCCTAAACCGGCATGGCTGGCTCAGGAATTCTGGGAGTTGAAATGCACAAGTCATAAAGGGGCTATTGTTCCCTACCCCTGCTCTAAGGTCTTAAAAAAAAAACACAACACTTTTGGAGAACTTTTCCCTCTTCCCAAATGCAGGAATAGCAGGAAGGAATTCATCATGGCAAAGTATATGGAACGCAAGTACGTCCAGAAAGCTAGCAAAGAAGATCCTTACCGAGTCTGGGAAGCTATCCGAAGCAGGGATCTCTTGGCACTGCTCCAGGCTTTTGCGGAAGGCCACGATCTGTCCAAACCTCTTGTGAGTCCTGAAGGTCAGGTAAGTAGGACAAAGTGAGGCCCAAGAAACAGAAGTCAGCAAAAACATGGCTGCTTTGAGAAACGGCCTTCACGTTCCTGATTTTTATTTAGATTTTTATTTTTTTACATAAAAGGGTTCATTTTGAAACCAGGCAAATTTTATTGTTCCTGGGTCCATGGTGATAAATTTTTTTTTAAGGGTTTGGTTCTTGAATACTAATTATTGTTAGACATTTCATTTTTTTGTGTGGTTCTAGCTTGCTAATGGCCACCGTGGCATAGGTATCCTTAACACAGGGGCCCCCAAACTTGGCAACTTTAAGATTTGTGGATTTCAACTCCCAGAATTCTCCAGCCAGCTATGCTGGCTGGAGAATTCTGGGAGTTGAAGTCCACAAGTCTTAAAGTTGCCAGGTTTGGAGACCTCTGCCTTAACAAAAGAATTGACACTTATTGGTTTAATCTCTTATAACAGAAGCCCACATCTGACACCTATGAGGCATCCTTTAATACCAACTTAGGATATTAAGGAGCCCTGGTGGCTCAGGGGTTAAAGTGCAGTATTGCAATCTAACTCTGCCCACAGCCTAGAGTTCGATTTTGATGGGCTCAAGGTTGACTAAGACTTCCATCCTTCCAGGATTGTAAAATGAGGATCCAAATTGTTGGGAGCAATAGGCTGATATTGTCAACTGCCCAGAGAGTGTTGTAAAACACTATGGAGCAGTATATAGGTCTATTGATATTTCTTTGTGGTTCATTTTTTATTTTTGACTTCTATCATAAAAAGTCTTGCAAAATGTTGCTTCTCCTTTTTCTAATAGGAACAAGGCGAACCAGCCTTGCATTGGGCAGTCCGCTACGCCAACAAAACTTCCCTTCCGTTGGTGGATTTCATTATTCAGAATGGGTAAGTCTTAGTTTGAAGGACCCTTGTTACTGGGGCCTCTTTTGAGAAGTCTTCTTCTGCTCCTAGTATGGTTAGGCTTGTGTTGAGAAGCGAGTAAGAATTAAACTCACTAGCCTTGCCCACACGCTTTCAAAACAGCAAGCCTCTCTACTTATTTAGACTCCTGATGCAGTTTGCAATAGATGCTGCCCATTTTAATTCCTCCTCACCTCCCCAACCAACCTGCAAATTTATTTGCAATCTTCAGAGGTATAAATTTATTTGGAAGATTGCACTGGCAGTGGTTGGCTGTTCAAAGCTGGGTTTCTGATTGCAGGTCACTTTGGAAGTACAAACGTGTCCCTTGTGCGGTTGTGCAAATCGAAAGAACGTGTCTTATGTCCTTTTTAAGAACTGAGGTTTTCCACAGTTTGCTGATTAAAACAAACAGACCTGAAATTTGCCACTTTGCTATCTTGTCTGTATGTAGGGGAAATCTGGACCGACCCACTGCAGATGGGAACACAGCCTTACATTACGGAGTCCAATATAATCAGCCCAATTGCATCAAGTTGTTGCTGAAAGGAAAAGCTTCTACAAAGGCAGGTAGGATTGCCCACCTGGCTGGAAATTGAAGGAGAAGGATCGGTAACTTCAGAGTCTTATTGCAAAGGAATTCGTGGCCGATCCTACCATAAGGCAGAGTGAAGCAACCAGCTTGGGTGGCAGATGGCTAGAAACAATCCTCATACATTTTCCTCTTGAGCTTCTTGCTTTCTTGGAGGATAAAGTTGTGTGTGCCAAGCTTGTTTTATGGCCCCAAACCTGCCTACTTTCTCAGCATGATAGAATACTGGAACTCATTGCCAGTACTGGAATAAAAATAAAATATAGCTGTTTGGTCAGTTCCTGTCAATGGAATTTTCCAGGCTGGCTGAGAATATTATCCTTTGCAACATCTTGCATTCAGAAAAGCCCTTTTTCATGGAAAAGTTTGGGGATTTTTTTTTAAAAAAAGAGATGCTTTGATCAATTGAATAATATGGCGGACAAATGCAGGAAGGTTGGGTGACTGGACTTTGATGAATATGATACCATCCTATTTCCATTAAAATATATAATGAACTTTGTGTGATTATCCCTATGAGGTGCAAGTATCTACACACCATACAAAATGATGGTGCACCTGTCCTCGCTGTTTGTGTAGCACATTGTTTGAAAATCTCCAGATTCAGATTGGTATGTTCTTTTGGTTTTCCTCCAGTAAATGCAGCTGGTGAAACGCCTCTAGATATGGCAAGAAGATTCAAGAATGCTGAGTGCAAAGACTTGGTAGGTGGAGGTAAGGGGGCCTTGGACCTTAGGTGGGAGAATTGTGCTTCCCAGATAATGTTACTTCCAGTGGTGGGATTCACATTTTTTTTACTACCAGTTCTGTGGGCGTGGCTTGGTGGGCATGGTGCGCCTTGATGGGCGTGGTGTGGCTTGGTGGGAGTGGCAGGAGAAGGATACTGCAAAATCTCCATTCCCTCCCCACCCTGCTAATCTGCTTTCCAGCTCCGTTCTCCTGTGCAGGGCAACCAAAGAAGACCCAGCCAATCAGCTGGGACTTGGGAGGCAGAGAATAGATGGGGGCATTTGTCAGAGTCAGAGGTGGGATTTGCCGGTTCTCCGAACTACTCAAAATTTCCGCTACTGGTTCTCCAGAACCTGTCAAAACTGGCTGAATACCACCTCTGGTTACTTCACAATGGCCATCCTTCTTGACCAGTGGCCAGGCTGCATTGACAACTTTTCTATAGCAGGAAGGTCTCAGTTTGAGGAGTACGTAGAGTGAGATGTTGGAGAGAGCAACCATTCTGAAGGTCATTACCTTGTTAGAACAAGATATTGGGGGGATCAGACCCTGGATGGGAACTCAAAAGGGAGGTGGTGTTGAAGACAGAGGATTCCCTCTACCTGACAGGCACAGTGTCAGCTTGGAGAGCGACATCATAACCTTTAGAAGGAATAGGAGAACCTCTTAGATGGTGAACTGACCAAGGATGTTCTTTTTATCCTTTTGTGATAGCTGGACCAGGCCCAGGCTGGGAAGTTGGCTATGCACGTGGACTACGACTGGGAAACTTCTCAGGAGTTCTCATATGACAGTGAAGATGAGCTGGATGAAAAGGTACTGGGATAACAACGCCATTTGTTTCTGTGTCCTGTTATGTAATGTCCCAGGTGGGACAGTCCCGTGTCAGTTTTCCTTTCTATCAAGGAACATGGCAGTGATATTAAAGCTTTGTCTATAGCTTCCTTCAGCTTCCTCTAGCGCAGGGGTCTTCAGCTTTAAGACTTGTGGACTTCCAACTCCCAGAATTCCTCCTCCAGACATGTTAGCTCAGGAATTATGGGAGTTGAAGTCCACAAGCCTTAAACTTGCCAAGTTTGAAGACCCTTGCTCTAGCTGGCTATGAAATGGAACGCCAAAAGATCGGTTGACCTTAAGCTGTACGAGGAAGGATTTTTTTTACAGGGGTCTTCAAGACATTGGCTGCATTCCCCCAATGTTCCTAAGCTGGTGATTGAATTAATCCATTTTCTACTGAACCATAAATTAACCAAATAGGTGTGGTTTTTCATCACATGCTAAGCCACCATGATTCTCCCCAATCAAGCTCAGTATATTGTGCAAATGCATTTGCTAAAGCTTATCTGACCTGCTTTAGCATGTTGTGAGAACATAGCCAGACTGAGTGTTGCTTCAGTAATAAGGTCCCCATGTTCTCCTCATCTATCTTGTGTTTCTTTTGTCTCCTTACTTCTACCCAACCTTCTGCAAGCTCCAGTTTAGAGGACACACATGTGTTGCTCTGTTAAGCAACAATGGGGTATTTGGCTTCATATTTTGCCTGGGTTCACCCTAGGCCAGTTGGTTGGTTACAATGAAAAATAAGATGTTGGATTAGAATAAGATGGATCTTTGGCCCAATCCCAACATTCTTCTTAGTTTTGTTTTTCTCGTGTCTGCTTGCTTATATCTCACCACACTTCATGTTTGCCCTGTTCCTACTATCTTATTTGTTTCCTTATTTTCAGTCTTAGAAGCATGGAGGCGGGTATCAAGTGACATAGAGTTCTTGGGTTCAGTTCTTTAGGACAGAGCTGAATGGTAGAAGAGGGCTGGGGATGGAGGAAGGAAAAGCAGATCTATAGGGCAGGGGATGGAGGGTTCCAGGCAGAGGTGGGATTCAGCAGGTTCTGACCAGTTCTGGAGAATTGGTAGCGGAAATTTTGAGTAGTTTGGAGAACAGGCAAATCCCACCTCTGACTGGCCCCGCCAACCCCATCTATTCTCTGCCTCCCGAGTCCCAGCTGATGGGCTGGGTCTTCCTTGGTTGCCCTGCACAGGAGAATGGAGCTGGAAAGCAGGTTAGTGGGGTGGAGAGGGAATGGGATTTTGCAGTATCCTTCCCATGCCCGCCAAGCCACACCCACAGAACCAGTAGTCATTTTTTCTTGAATCCCAACACTGGTTCCAGGTGCTGATGACATCTGCTGCTTTGTCTGATAGGTTAGCCCACTGCAGCGATCTTTTGGGTCTTTGCCATCTCCCACCACCGGCCAGCCCATTCTCTTCTCTCCAAATCGGTGGGGCTGCTCTGGCATGGATATCAGCAACAAGACCTACGAGACCATCGTGATCCCTTCGCAGCCTGGTCAGCGAAGCTCAACCAGTGAGAAGACCCCACCGCCTCTGCCTCTCAAAAAGCCTCCCAAAGGGAGCGGCAAACCAAAACCAGGTGAAGCCAAAATGTTGGCAAGCCAGCCAGGGGAAATGTCGAAACTTACTCTTCCTTTTGTTTTCTTTATTTTCTTTATTTATTTTGCCAAACATGCATTTGATAATATACCTAAGTATAAACATGATTACTAATATATGAAATAGAGACGAATAAAAGCGGACATTAAGACAGGGACGGTAGGAGAAGCTGTCCACTGGCGTCCCATCCCTTCAAACAGGATGCTTGTAGCGTCCTTTCGGATTGCATACTCAATGATTTCTTACAATAGGTATGAAGAATTTGGACTGGTATCTTCTAGTTCAGGACTGAGAAAGGTATGACCCTGAAGATGTGGTTGAACTAGAGTACTCAAGAACTGAGGCCCAAATGACCAGTGGTGCAAAGTGACAAGACTTGAGATCTTGATGGGCAAGAAATTCCCTACTGCTCTTCAAAGGGTTCATCACCAGGATCATGCAACTATTTAGAGCAGGGATGTCTGACACTGAGACTAATTGAGAAGAGGATCAACCTGGAATGAAGTAGAAACTTCCTAACAGTGAAGATATGTGGAGCAGCTTGTCTTCAGATGTTGTGGATGCTTCATCACTGGGTTTTTTTTTAAAGAAGAGCCTGGATAGTCACTTGTCTCAAATGGTATAGGGTCTCCTGCTTGAGCAAGGAGCTGGACTAGAAGACCTCCAAGGTCCCTTCCAGCTCTTTTCTGATTGGTCTTTAAGACCTGAGGACTTCAACTCCCAGCCAGCCAGCATGGCTAGCTAGGGAATTCTGGGAGTTGAAGTTCAGAGGTCTTAAAGTTGCCAAGGTTGGATACTCCTGATTTAGAGCTTCTGCTGCAGTGGTGGTATTTGACCGGTTCTGGCCAGTTCTAGGAGACTGAACCAGTTCTCTCCACTGCTGTAATGGCTCTGCTGTTGGGCCCACCCGCCCAATACTCACCTTTATCCGCTGAATTTGAAGCGCAGCTGCTTTGCGCGGCACAGAATAGCGCCGCACGGCAGCTGCTGAAGCAACCGGGATGGTGCAGGCTTGCAGGGAGGGAGGTAGAACTGCGCAAACGCCTCTGCACCAGCGCAAAGTGTTTGTTTGGCACATGCGTGCACGCAAAGTGTGTACGTGCATGTCAAGTGCGTCCACCAAGCCACGCCCATCGAACCGATATGGCAACAATATTTGAATCCCACCACTGTTCTGCTCCCATGAGTGATTGTTTCCCTTGCTTTCCAGATGCCACTGAATCTCTACCCCATTCACCAGACAGCCCCGACATTTGGAACTCATCCGTTCCCAGCATCCCCAGTGCGTTGGAGGGGGGCCCATTTTGGCAATCACCCAACTTCCGTAACTCTATGGAAGTCAAAGGCACAGCCTATTGGGAAACCTGCTCTGATGCCGGGGGTGCCTCCCAACGGCGAAGATCAGAGCCCCCTCAGATGACAACTCTGCAGCCTTCCCCTGGAACCTCTCCCGAACCAGGACAAACAGCCCCAGTCAGGTTCAGGTGAGAACAGAAGTTATCAGACCAAATGGTTGCATGCTGTCCACGAGAAGGGCGGCCACGGACATCCTGTTAATAAAATAAAAACCAGTCAAAGTTGTAAGTTGAGCAGCTTCATAAGTTGAGCCCTGGTGGCGCAGGGGTTAGAATGCAGGATTGCAGGCTAAATCTGCCCACAGCCAGGAGTTCGATCCTGACTAATTCAAGGTTGACTCAGCCTTCCATCCTTCCGAGGTCAGTAAAATGAGGGGCCAGATTATTGGGGCCAATATGCTGACATTGTAAACAGCTCGGTGAGGGCTGTGAAGCATTATGGAGTGGTAGATAAGTCTGCATGCTATTGCTATTATTATCAGCAGTTTCCATTGCTTGTACAGTTTTCAGCTAAAATCTATAGGAGGACTTGGGTTCCTTCTGTTGTCTCTGATTAAGCCAAAGCAAGCCAACTATGTAATGGTTTAGCCTCATAAGAACCCGGCCACTGCAGTTTGTAAACCGTCATTAATGGCTTAGCAAGTAAGGAGCCAGGCAACTGGAGTTTATTGAATATACTATGAGTAAGCAAACTATAATTTTTAGTTCTCTGTGTTTGGGACCCAGCCATTTTCCCAGCATAGCATATGAAGGAGTCTGTCGCATTAAACCTTCCGTAGCATGGTTGATTTGCTTACATATCACATGTCACATGAATCCAGATTTTATTTATTTTACTTATTTTGTTAAGCATGCATTTGATAATATACTAAGTATAAACATGATTATTAATACATGAAATAGATACGAATCAAAGGGAACATTAAGACAGGGATGGTAGGCATGTTGGTGTGCTTATGCACGCCCCTTACAGACCTCTTAGGAATGGGGTGAGGTCAACAGTAGACAGTCTGATGTTAAAGTTTTTGGGGTTAGTGGAAGAAACCACAAAGTCAGATAAAGTATTCCAGGCATTGAGCACTCTGTTGCTGAAGTCGTATTTCCTGCAATCAAGTTTTGTGTGGTTTACCCTGAGTTTGTATCTATTGTGTGCTCGTATTGTTGAGGTTGAAGCTGAACTATTCATTGACAGGTAGGACATTGCAATGGATAATTTAATATACTATAAAATTCATAAATTTACTATAAAATTTATAAAATTATAAAATTTATGTAGATGGTAGAGAATCCAGGCCAGGTGTGGAACTTCACATGTTGCTCAGATATTTGAATCCATTTTCCATTGCCATTGACACAATAATAGTTTTCCTTATCAAGACAACCAGTATATATGACAGTTGCTCAAATAAATAAACATACTGTAATATTGTTACAGTGTTCGCAAAGGAATAGGAGACTACAATAATTTGGCAGGCTGCTGGAGACAAATACCACTGTAAAAGCTATATAAAAGTAGATCCAAAATTAGGCCATACTGGTGTCATTTCTAAAATATGGCTTCCTTACTAATAGTATCTTTCATTATATCTATTTAGGTTTGCATCTCCAAGTGCAAGCATATAAAAGCATATTCTCTCCCTTCAAAAAGTAGGACTTCTTTTTAGCCTAGATATTAATTCTAAATTGTAACTTGAGAAGATATTCTCCCCATTCTTCCTGCTTACACACATACAGGGAGTCCTTGACTTATGACCATAACTCAGCCTAAAGTTTCTGTCGTTAAGTGAGACATTTTGTTAAGTGAGTTTTGCCCCATTTTGCGACCTTTCTTGCCACAGTTGTTAAGTAAATCTGGCTTCCTCATTGACTTTGCTTGTCAGAAGGTCGCAAAAGGTGATCCCATGACTCTGGGACACTGCAACTGTCATAAATACAAGTCAGTTGCCAAGCGTCTGAATTTTGATCACATGGCCAAGGGGATGCTGCAAAGGTCGTAAGTCTGAAAAATGGTCATAAGTCACTTTTTTCATTGCCGTTGTAACTTCGAACAGTCACTAAATGAACTGTTGTAAGTCACGGACTACCTGTACATTGTTCTAACATCTGCATCAATGTGGGTTCTATTTTCTACATGTTGCTGATAAATCAACAAGAAACAAAACATGCTTTTGACCAAATCTTTGACCAATTTACAGACCTCTCACATCCTGGACACAAATTGTTTCAATTCCTTTCCTCAAAATGATGCTATAGCACTGCACACCAGAACAACTAGACACAAGGACGGTTTTTTCTCGAAAGCCATCACTCTGCTCAACAAATAATCCCCTCAACACTATTTAAAAAGTCTGCACTACTATTACTATTAATCTTCTCATCACTCCTTATCGCCCATCCCCTCCCACTTGTGACTGGATGACTGTAACTTTGTCGCTTGTATCCTTATGATTTATATTGACTGTTTCCTAGTATTATTTGATTGCTTATCCTATGACTATCATTGTGTTGTACCTGATGATTCTTGACGAATGTATCTTTTCTTTTTATGTACACTGAGAGCATTTGCACCAAGACAAATTCCTTGCGTGTCCAATCACACTTGGCCAATAAAGAATTCTATTCTATTCTTCTATTCCAAGCATAAAAAGAAGAGTGAATGAACAAAGAAAAGGAAGACGAGAATAAACTAGCTAATTAACTAACTAGATACCAGCTCTTAATGTTTGTAGACTTCTGTAATGATGATTTATGATGGGAATGGGTTGCAAAGGAAGAAATGGAGGACACCATC